CGCGGTAAGGTAGTCCTTCTTATCAATTTCGAGAGCTAGTCTCAACGGTCGTCATATCTAATCTTAGGGGTACTCGGGGGTGCCCCTAATTTCTGCTGCATGGTCAAACCAGAGTACCGTCATTGCACGGACTTGTCTTTGAGCCTAAGTCCCTAAACCGTAGATTTCAGGCGGCGCATTGCTTGTGGCCGCCTGACACCGGGTCCAGCGTCCCTAAGCAGTGGTGTGTGTCTGTGTGACTATGTCCTACAGTCTGAAACTATCTGTATATCTATATATCATGTATCAATCAAAATGTCATCAAAATGTCAAGATGTCATCACGAAACCATACGCAAGATATGATGTGTGTGATCTTTATCAATCAAGCCTAAACACGCAGTTTTATCAATGATGAGATATGAATGATCTCGACGTCAATGCATTATCGTGTTATCGAGTAAGACTGATAGGAGGCATTGATTATTTCCCTGCGCAAGGGAAGGATTAACCTCTTGCAAGCTAATCCCTAAACGACCCACCTTTAACCCACGGGGTGATCAGCACCCCATTGATGATTGATATTGCCGGTCGGGCAACACCAATCACCACCGACTATCCTACTCCTATCCGATGCCAAACGACGAGGAACAATTCCATATCGAGGTGTGAGAGGGGGAAGACAGTAAACCATTTCGCCGTGTCAACTCCAATTCCCCCCCCCTTCTTGCGGCGTCATTCCCATCATGCAGATGAAAATCTGAGATGCACGGATACCGCTTTCTACCCCACTACTTCCATGTCCGTTGCCCCCGCTGTCGTCGTCGCTGTTGTTGTTGATGTTGTTGTTGTTGTTATTGTCAACTCCAATCCCCCTCTTGCGACATCATTCCCCTCACACAAATGAAAATCTGAGATGCACGGATACCACTCTCTACCCAACTGCTTCCATAGTCGTCGCCCCCGCCGTCGTCGTCGCTGTTGTTTTTGTTGTTGTTGTTGTTGTTATTGTCGTCGTCACCATCATTGAGGGGAGGGGAGATAGCACACCTCTTTTCCATGTCAACCCCAATCTCCACCATGTCCACTTGCGGCATCTCCCTCATCATGTCGATGATGATTACAGTTGCACTGACACCGCTGTCTGCCCCGCTGCTTCCGTAGTCGTTGCTGCTGCCGTCGTCATCATTGTTGTTGTTGTTGTTGTTGTTGTTGTTGTTGTTGTTGTCACGCTCATTTTTGTTGTCACCACAATTATCTTCGCCGGCCTCCAAACCTCCCTCCAACCAGTCGTCCTTGTCGCCGTTATCGCCCATCTCACCGATCTCGCCAATTGTCTGCCGATTCTCCAGTTGATTGCATAGATCGCGTCCCAATGGAAAGAGGGTTTTGCAAGTACCCATCCTACCGTTCACCCGCCTCCAGTCGATTTGGCCCTTAAGCCGGGGATCCGGCCCCTCCTCCAGCTCCCACATAATGTCTAACATCTCCTGGATCCTATTCTCCAACCACTCATCCATCGAGATCGCCCCCCCTTCGATCTCCAACCCTTCCTGCCATCGCAGCATGAGCACCCCCACTATCGTCTGCAACTGCTTGCATCCCTCCTCCAGTGTGATAATCCATTCCTCCGCTTGATGTTGTGGCTCTCCCACCGAGTCCATCGCTCACCCAATTAACTGCGCTACTCACATACTTCTTCTAAACCTCTTGTAATCCCACGGCTGGCGCTACCCCTGCTCACGTGTCACGGGACATCCACGCCTTCCAACAGCAGGCGCCACGTGGCAACAAGCCACTCGCGCCTACCGGGCACGTGCCCAGGCCCAGCTGCCGGGGAGTTGTTCTCCCCGGGCGCCTAGTTGAGCCGAGGCGACCTGGCCCTACCGGTCCGCCGGTGTCGGGGCGCTAGCACGAGCGCAGTTCTCGCCCCCCGAACTCCCCACCCTTGAACTGTTGTAATACAAACTCGAGTTCGAAGTCGACGATTTTTTTTTTTTTTTTTTTTTTTTTTTTTTTTTTGGGATAAATGCTCCAGTCTATTCGTGGTGAGCAACACGTGCTGAGAACCGGGCCCAGCGTCCCATATTGAATTATACAAAAGATTTGAAATACCAGGGCCATTACCTAACTTCGGCTAAGAACAATCTAAAAACTATAAAAAAAGTTCAGGAAATTTTAGGAAAACATGGATAACTGCTAACCTATTGGTAGGCTACTCAAGCAGCACTTGCTAAGTCAAAACAGAAAGCCACAGAAGTCCTTTGAATGCTCAGAACCTCTGGAATCCGCAATAAAACATTCCAAAATTCTCTAACACTGTCTTATTCCCTGTCGAGCTCTCCCAGGCCTCATGCCCCCACCCTGCTAGGTTACAGGGCAACACAACTCACCCCAGCTCCGGCCAGCGTTGTACCGACAACAACCCTTGGTTTTCCTTTGGAATGCCGGACCCAAAGCATCCCCAGATCTCTCTACCAGGCCTCACGCTCCTGCTATCAACAGGTTACAGGGCAACCCCCCAGCTTCGGCCAGCGTCGTTCTGGCATCGAAAAACCGCAAATCCATGAATATAACAGCATTAAAGAAACCTTAAAATGAGTTGCAAGAAGTGCCCAGAATCCTAAGGCATTCTCAAAACTTTTTTCTTTTTTAGGTACTGGGGCCATTACCTGGCTTCGACTGAGAATCAATCTGAGAACTATTTGAAAAACTTCAAAAGAATTAAAGAAGAGGTTGAAAAAATGCGAATGAGTACTGACCTCTTTTCGAATGCTCAGAACCCCTAGACTCCCAAACCAAACTCTCTAAAACTATCCAACACTGTATTATTCCCTGTCGAGCTCTTCCAGGCCCCCCACGCCCACCCGGCTAGGTTACAGAGCAACACGACTCACCCCAGCTCCGCCCAGCGTCGTCCCAATAGTTACCCTAGGTCGTCCCTTGGAATGTCCACCCCAAAGCATCCCCACCTCTCTCTACCACGCCTTCGCTCCTGCAATCAGCAGGTTACAGGGCAACACCCCAGCACCGCGCGTCGTTCTGGCATTGAACAACCACGGATCCATGAATATAACAGTAACAAACAGCCTAAAGCGAGTTGCTAGAAGTTCCAAGAATCCTAAAACATTCTTTTTTTTACTGAAATCCCTGCACATTCGATTTTTTAGTTCATAATTTTTATTTTTCCTCTTTTTTTTTTCTTCTATTTTTGAATGAACCTTGAGCCCGACTAGGGGCAGGTTCATTGTTAGAAAGGGAGAAAAGCTAACCAATTGGGCGGGTCGAGCTGGCTCGATGCGGAAGGGTTTCAACATAGGATTCGTGAAAACCTAACAAAACAAATTGTTAGGTTTGCACGAAAAATTTCAAAGATTCCCATAGTACGTTTTTCAGGCCTCCTACATCAAAAAAATTCTAGGTGAAGTTAAAGATCCGCAAAAAATGAAATTAAAAAAACAAGGTAACACATCGTACACGTACGCGGGCTCCGCATATGTGCATATGCGTATGCACGTATGCGCATACGTGGCGCATACGTATGCGCACGTACGCAAATTTAGGGCCCGCGTACGTGGTCACATTGGGCCTTTTCCCGGGTTTGTCTTGGCCTTGTAGGGGTTGGGGGGTGGGCGTTGGGATTGGTGTGTGTGTGTG